TAGAGTCATATAAAAGTCCACCATATTTATAATTATACTAATCTACTCCATGAACACTTACAATAACGCAATGACTTTCCCTTATCAACCACAATACACAATGAATGAGGTCAGCGAGTTAACCTTCAGCTGATGGCACGCTTACCATAATAATAGTATTAAAACAAGGCAGGTTTTATTGGAGCAAAGTGAAAAGAAGAGTGAAACAAATTAGTGCTCATTAATAAGTTACTTTATTGAACTATTTAATCCATATGAGCAAAGAATACTGCCGGCTTTGATGTTGACAGGGCTCTTCAATTATTAATTGCTTGATTCATATGCGTTTCCTCAAAACGTCTGACCCTTTACTAAATTCGGCACTGTTATTAGAGCTCCAGCATTTCAAACGGGACAGAAAAATAGCACGTGTGATATTAAGTAGAATTATCTTTGCTTGCAGTTGCAAAAAATATATTTTAAAGTGGCGAAGAACAGACTTTTGCTTCGATAACCACTGTCTTTACTGTCCCTGTTCAGATGTTTTACCATTATCTTTCTTTCTTTGGCACCAACCTCTTCACAAAATGTGGAGTGGCAATAAGAGAGAAAATAACAGATTATGTTGGTAAATAGGATCATCCAGAGCTAAACGCTGAATGTGTGCGATCAGGAGGGAGAACAGGATCCTTGGACAATGTGCAGGGCATGTGGACAAATAGTCTCACCTCCAACTGAGTGTGTTGTTTCTTCTCATTGTGCTCTCTGAAAGAGAAGAGGAGGGCCTTGCTTAAGAAGATTATAGCACTACCCCACCCGTACGTTTAATCAACATGCCCTTTCAACGCAGACAACAATGCCAAACATGTCTAAAACGTCCCCCATCTCTCCCATAGCATACCTCACATGTTGGAACAGCATGTGAGTCATCTAACCTCAGCAATTAGGAGAAACTACTGTGATTACTCTTACTGATACAGAGTTGGTGTAGGCAGATCATGTTTCCCATCAAAGCACTGATGGCGTCAATTTCAGAAATGTCACCATCATAGTGCCGTGTTTGATACCAATCTAATTTCAGGCAACGCAAACAAAATTGTATTAGCTTCAACTCATTTTTACTGATCAAAATTCCCCGAAGAATCCAAGGAGCTTTGCTTCCTCACCCTTCATTTCTTTCATCCATGGTTAAATATGTAAATAAAATGTCTAAAGTCATTCTTCAAAGGGGAACAAAAGAAAAAAGGGGGCTGAGGGGAAAGACAGCCATAAAATTCCTCCGATTCTCCATAACATTAGCCAGAGGGGGGCCAGCTTCCAGCCAGAGCCTAGCAGCAGGGGAGCGAGCGCGCTCCATAGAATCACACATCGCAAATCCCACACACAAAAAAAATAAAATATCTTTTCAGCTTCAGCCATCAAAGGCCCCCCCCCTCCCTTTCACTTTATTAGTTACAGAATTATCTCACAGTTGCTGATTTCTCAGAGATGGAGCTGCACTGCTTTTTCTTCAACACACTGTGGTGGTTGCAAAGATGAGATAAAGTTGCTGTGTGTGAGAGTGTGTTTGTGTGTGATGCACTTGTGTGAGTAGAAGTAAGCTATAGAATCGAGCTGTATATGAAACAGGAGGTGGTAGATGGGAAAAAATCATAAAGGAGACAGTAGCTGCTGAGGCTATACGTATGCTAAAGACTGAACAGGCCTGATTCCTCCCATTTTCTTCTCATTTTCAAAGAGATATCATCAACAATCTTAAAAGAGTGGGAGGCAGGAGGAAAGACAGGAGTGAGAACAGAACAAAGGCGATGAATTACAACAAACCAGTAGACTGTGTCTTCTTATTAGACTCTGTGACAGTATTATCTTGTCAGCCTTATTACACCAAAGGCGGCGATAATAGGGCCAGATAGTTGCTTTAAAATATGCCAGACAGGGTTTCCTGGAAGCGTGATGATCAGTAAATGGAGAGCATAACTAGCCTTGGATCTGTGAACACATTGATATTACATTATTCTTCTTCACATTAAAGCTGTCATCTCTTTTTGTTCTACTTCTACATCAACTACATAATAAAAGGTCTAGTGGAGGGAGGGCCAGAGCAGGCATGTCAGCTGTTGTCCTTGTCTTTGTGAGGGGTCAGAATAAATCAAATGCATGCTGCTTCACATCTGGGCTTTTTTGACAAAGGAAAATGTTTTGCATATCATTATGAATTTCCCACAAAACAGATTTTAACATAACACAAATGATTGCCAGTTTAAAAGAATGGTATACATTAGGAAAATAAAATAGTGTGCAAGCTAAATCCATTGTTACAAACCCATTAGCCTTGGCATTTTTTTTATATAATCCGATGAGCATAGATGTTTTTTCCCTTGAATTTAGACCAAACCCTTTCAAATGTTAACAGCTGGATAAGGGGAATGGAGAAGCACATGTGCTGCATAGGAGGAGGGTATTGTGTTCATAAGTGTATTCATACCCTATATTTATGCTCCTGCTGCACACACTGAGCGCTAACAGCTGAAATGCCACCACTGAGATATGCTGTGCTTAAACCATTTAGGCACGCTGGTGCCAGGTTTCTCATCTTGCTCGGACACATTTCTCAAATACTTTTAAAAGCACTTTGGTGACTCTTGTAAAAATGGACCTAAAGCACTCCTGTTTACTTGTGATCAGTATTTCACCCTTGATGAAGACCATGGCCAGGCTGGAGTATAAATCTTACCACCACACACTTTTTACAATGTAATGTGAGTGAGGTCTGGAGGATCTCACACACATAAAGAAAGGCAGAAGGCCTCATAACCTTTACTCTCTCAGCCACTCAGATCCTCCACTGGAAGATGCAATATAAAACCAAGATGGAGTTCTTACTCACTGTAACTACAATACATCATCAAGGTATACTTGTGCCGTTTATTGCAGCAGACTATGTGTCGATGTGTCGTATTCGGTTTATTTTATGACATAGGTTACTTTTGTGCTGCTGTGTCTTGCATAGGCTAGCTTTCTACAGGAATTGTTTCGCTTTAATAGGCTAATAAAAGCCCCTCCATCTTTTGATTTTCTTGGGCACTTATCCTGTTCAGGGTCACAGGGGGTTGGAGCCTTACCCCTGCAAAACACAGGATGTATGCCGGACAGTTTACCATAGGGCTAAGACACATATTGAGGATAACACATCCATACTGATGGGCAAATGGTCATTTGACTTGGTGTATGAGAGGCAGGCATAGCGCAGGAAGTAAAAACATGGGGTAAATGCAAAAAAAAATCCACTGATTCAATGTGCAATCATAACAAATTATCTCAAAAGAAAATAAACTGGAAGCTGAACTAAAGCTTTATACACTTCCCACCCAACAGTGGTGGTTTCGGTTTCTCTGCATGAGAACAATAGCCTTTGGCACAGTGCTTTATGAATGCTGTTGAGCAATATGATTCATTACTTTATTTACTTAACCAATTAAAGAAATATCTTTCTCCAATGTGTGAGAAAGATCCAAAGGAATTCAACCTTCGTATTTGTTTGCTGTACTACTTCCTTCACTTAAAAAAAGCAGGAAATGAATGCAAGTGTTTGTCCTCCTGCGTTCAACAATGTCGACGAACAAAAACTGAGAACAGAATAAAGCCATTGTTTTAAACTGTTTACATACATAATCTTGTTGTTATGTCATTAACACTAAGCAAGGTGAGTGTATTCACACACATAACTTATGTGTGTGAATAAACTCACCTTGCTTAGTGAGGCATCAATGATGCATATTCTATTGAGTTTAGTTACAAAACGTTATCTGCACAAAACTGCATTTTGATCACATGATATTGAAAGCTCTGGTTTCCAATCATATTTCTAAACTAGGAAATTGGCAAGGATAATTAATTTGGGCATACAGGAAGTTGTCATTGATAGAAGATGGCATGTAAGTACAGTTAGTAAATGTACTCAACTTCTGGACTTAAGGACGTATTTGAGGTATGTGCCTGACTTGAATTATAACATTTTACACCACTGTGTTCTTAAACTCATGAAAACATAAAACATAAAATGTATGAAGAAGATCAAATCAGTTCCACTGCAAACAGTTGAGGCATTAAAATGCTGCTCATGTTAATACACGAAAAAATATTACTTGACCATATTAATGTAACCTAACACTTTGAACAGGGGGCATTCTGCACAATAAATACTCCTTAAATACTTAAAGTATATTTTGTGCTGCGGTACATTTTCATTTTGCATAATTTTTCTACTTGTAATGCCATTTTTTTTACATTATGTTAACACCCTTATTATTACTTTTTCTACACTGGTCAATGTGAAAGTCTCTGGGGAACAGCATCATCTCTGCTCTTAGATCCATGCATGTACAGTCAAGATTTAGCAGTGAAGAAGCGACATCATGAATTTAGTTTTCCTCTGGATTATTGTTTCGCTTAAAGTATTCTTAGTTTAATTTAATGGCAAATCTATGTTGATTGGACAATTTAGCCCATCTCGGACCTTCTATTCAAAGAAAGAGGTTGCATTGTTCCAAAACACAGGAAATGTGTAATTATAAAAAAAAAAATAAGCATGGATTGCACAAGTAAAAACGGTGAATTTTTTTTGTTAGTTTAGCCTGCTCGTAAGGGGATGTGAAATGCTTTTGCAATTGCAATCAAAGTGGCGAAAAAATAATAGTACAAACCTGCCCTGCAGTTACATGTACGAAACATCAGTTGTAACCAAAACTGTGGTTCTGGTGCGCACTGCGAGGCATATTATGCACATGTTGGGGATTCTCATAAAATTGTGTCTCTGTCCTGTTATAGTGGAAGTTTTCAGTTGAGCACAAACAAACAGAAAGAAGGAAGTTTGCTGCGAGCCTTTGAAACTGCTGTAATGAACAGGCTGTTCCGCACGATTTGAAAATAATCCGCGTGTCAGTGTCATCTTTCTTATGCAAAGTAGCTGTCTTTGAAGGCGGATCTTTTGGCAGGTTAGACCGGGACGGAGGCTCTGACCAGCTCAGACGAGCGCTGCCACCAAACGCATCAACTGCCTGCTTACGGGAGGAGCGTAATCCTGCGTTTCTGGGACACATTTATTAAGATCACAGAGGATATTTATTTTACAAATTTTGCTGACTTCTTCGCTGTTACTGGTGCCTTGTGAGCAGCGGCTTAAAGGACTAGAGGAAATTATTTGTTGTGTGTTTTCCCCAAGTTGTCGCACAAGGACTGAAATCGCACTGCTGCTCAGACTGATACTCCGGAAAAAGTGACATGAAACGTGAGGACAGATGAGTGAGTATTTTGGGAACAAGAAAAGGACAAATCGGAAAGCATTTCAATTCTCTTTTACTCACAGTAGACTGATATGCACCGTGTAAAAGACTGAAGAAGTATCTCCAACACTTCAGCCACAGACTGAGCGCTTGAAAGCATGGACCTAAACGCACGCGTCTTCCAGCGAGAAAACATTTTCGGACCACAGTTGGATTTTTTTTTGTATTGAACTCTTGCAAGCCTGAAATGTGGAAACGAGGATCTTGCACCAGATAGTTCTGTAAGTTATTTGTCACATTTGTCTAACACAAACAGCAGCCAGGTTTCATCACTGATTTTTTAATGAGAGAAACCTGTGTGATGTGTTAGTGGTGAACAGTTGGCCTATATTTTCTTTAATTCAAGAGAGGGAAAATGCTTTCAACTGCTAAACTGAGCCTCATCTGTGTGCTGCTGGTCCTGAGGAGCAGTGGGGGGTCAGCCATTAGCTCAATAGACCCCGACTGGTCAGGAGAGGGGAGATGTCAACACATCAGCATCCCCCAGTGTAAAGACATTGGCTACAACATGACCCGCATGCCAAATCTCATGGGCCACGATGACCAAAAAGAGGCAGCGATAAAGCTGCAGGAGTTTGCGACGCTGATACAGTTTGGATGCCACAGTCATCTCAAATTTTTCCTGTGTTCACTGTACGCTCCCATGTGCACGGAGCAGGTGTCCAACCCCATCCCAGCATGCCGAGTTATGTGTGAGCAGGTAAAGGTAAAATGCTCACCCATCTTGGAACAATTCAACTTCCCCTGGCCCGACTCCCTGGACTGCTCCCGGCTGCCAACCAAAAATGACCCAAACAACCTCTGCATGGAGGCGCCCAACAACGGCTCAGATGAACCTCCCAAAGTCTCTCACACCCAGCCTCCAGACTACAGGCCACAGCGGCCTCTGAGCGGGCAGGATGTGCACTTAAAGGACAGCATCAGCAAGCAGACATGCAGCAATCCTGGCAAGTTTCACTATGTGGAGAAAAGTGAGTCATGTGCCCCCAAATGCTACCCCAAAGTGGACGTGTACTGGAGTCAGGGGGACAAGCAGTTCTCTCTGGTGTGGATTGCCATCTGGTCCATCCTCTGCTTTGTCTCCAGCGCCTTCACTGTGCTCACTTTCCTCATAGACCCGCAGCGCTTCAAATACCCTGAGAGGCCGATCATCTTCCTCTCCATGTCCTACTGTGTTTACTCTGTGGGTTACCTAGTAAGACTTTTTGTAGGAGCTGATAGAATAGCCTGTGACAGAGACAATGGGGTCCAGTATATTATCCAGGAGGGTCTGGAGAGCACCGGCTGCACCATTGTCTTTCTTATCCTGTATTATTTTGGCATGGCCAGCTCTCTCTGGTGGGTTATCCTGACCCTCACATGGTTCTTGGCTGCAGGGAAGAAGTGGGGTCACGAAGCCATCGAGGCCAACAGCAGCTACTTCCACCTGGCAGCGTGGGCCATCCCGGCTGTGAAGACAATCATGATCCTGGTGATGAGGAAAGTGGCGGGGGATGAGCTGACGGGCATCTGCTACGTGGGCAGCATGGATGTCAAAGCTCTCACAGGCTTTGTGCTTATTCCTCTCTCCTGCTACCTTATTATTGGCACTTCATTCCTGCTGTCTGGCTTTGTTGCCCTCTTCCACATCCGTAAGATCATGAAAACAGAAGGAGAGAACACAGACAAGCTTGAGAAACTGATGGTTCGCATCGGGGTCTTCTCCGTGCTCTACACCGTCCCGGCCACCTGCGTCATCGCCTGCTATTTCTACGAGAGGCTCAACATGGACTACTGGCGCATCATGGCAGCGGAGCAGAAATGTGTTAACAGCAGCGGGCCGGAGTCGGACGAGTGCGTCATGAAGACTTCCATCCCCGCCGTTGAGATCTTCATGGTGAAGATATTCATGCTGCTGGTGGTGGGCATCACTAGCGGCATGTGGATCTGGACCTCAAAGACACTGCAGTCATGGCAGAACGTGTTTAGCAGGAAGCTAAAGAAGAGGACAAGCAGGAAGGCTGCCAGTGTGTTCACCAGCAGCAGGCCTTACATCAAACCTCACCCATCTCTCAAAGGGCACAGTACAAAATATGAGCCTACACGGCCCCCTCCAACATGTGTATGAGCTAGCTCTCTTTGTTTAAACCCAAACATACTTGTAAAGCCCTTAACTAAATGAGACTATGTAATCAGAGTGCCATCAAAAGAATCAAGGTTCATGTTTTATTTATGTTAACTGCGTTAAAAATAATGCAACATGGGTTTTTTTGTTTGTCTTGAGCCATCTCATGCAACAAGAGCTGCCTTTCTTTGAGGAAAAAAACGTATTCTTCTGGATTCACTTAAGGAACTTGGTAAAGAGAAAAAAATCTTAATTTCCCAAGACAAAAAGAGTGGAATATACCATTTGGATGTGCCATGGGGTCACTTGAATAATGCGCAATAGATGTTTTCCTTACAGGCAAAAAAGACACTTATACTGTTAGTGACAGACTACAGACAATGACAGGACCCCACAGACTATGGAGGCATATGGTCAGAAGGATAAGTGTTGTGTTTGGAGGCTTTTTAATGGAAATACATGTTTGAACTGGAGTGAGAGCAGCTGTTGAAAAGACCTTTCTGAACTGCCCATTATGAGGAAAACCCATGTCATAAATTAATCAAGCACTCATTATTGAAAAGTTATTTGTACATGCAGTTATGTTTCCCATATTTTTTCTTTGCCGTTTTAAAGCACAAGGGAACATTTGTATATATTTCAAAAAACTTCAGATTTTATAGAAAAATTAATAAAACGTTCTAGTTTTAAATGTTTGTAATGCCGTATTTTTGTGTTAAAATGTTGTTGATTTTCTATCTAATGGAGTGAGTCTCTATGTTAATACAGCCGCATAAAGCTTGTATTTTTTACTATTGCAGCACTTGTACTTTTTGCTACCCACAGTTTCGTAGCAATCAATTTAATACATCGTAAAAATTCAAATAATTTTCCTCAATTTGTGAATGTTATTGAATGTCATAGCTGGGTTTTAACATTATGTTTGTTACTAAGAATATCTTTAAATATAATTTACGGAGATGCAGATGTTTACCTGATCAAAAGGGGACAAAACTAACTTTTTACTATAACAATAATATTAAAGACCAGTTCAGATCAGCTTATAAATGTTGTACATGCACTGTATATTGTTGCTATAGGAAAAATGTGCACTTTTACATATAAAAAAGGCTTGTTACCATGCTTGACACATTGGTTTATAAGTCAGCACACGCAGAAAGCACAAAAAGCGGAATCCCTCTTCTTGTTTTTAAATGTTTGTAAGGAAATATTGGCAAATGAATGTTAATGCCCAGTGGCTTGACAACTAACAGTGAAGCAAAAACAGGACAAACTTAGTAAAAGGGAGTGTCCAGGGTCTCCCATTTGCTGTTTAAATTCAGGCCTCAAAGTCACAAATACATATAGTTTCATATTATTGTTTAAAATGACAATGTAAATTATATTCACTTTTTGTTTAATGGCTATTAGTTTTGCACACTTTGATGAGAAGAAGCACCTTAAAACTGTGCAGAATTACTACACAAATTAACACTTTTATAGTGTGTTTTGTTAACTAAAATGTCAAATTTGATATAGCTGTGGTTTACATGAGAGTGACTTGAATGTTTTTTTTTATTTCCCCCACTGCCTCAGCTGAAGTGGATATACACCTTCATTGTAGCCCCCACTTTCCCTCTCTTGCTCTCTCTCTCTGTGTTGCATGTGCCGGTGCGTATCAATGAAGGGGTTATACAATAATCCAGCTCTCATTCAGGACAGGATTAGACCGTTTGAAGGGGTTTGACTTTGAAAAGGGGATCGCAGCAAACCAAAAATACAAAATATCTGTCATCTCTTCTCTTCTTATCAGCACGGCATAGTGACATTTCTAAAGACACATCTGGCCTGGATTTGAAGAAGTTACATATTGACTGAAGCGGCTTTGTTAAGCATGAGCAAACTGAATACATTTTGTGGTATCCTAAGATGTTTGGTGTTAAACGATCCTAACGCTGTCAACAACTTTAAGGTATACTTTCTGAGAGCCACAAGTCTAGTCTTGAATCTTAGCAATGACAATTGTTTCTGTCTTGACAGTGCTGTCAGAGCAAGTACAAGTACATGTACAAGTGAGTCAAGACAGCACTACATTTGCAAGAATAATGATATATGTGTAAGAATAATAAGTATGAATTCATGCTTTTTAATATTTGTAGAATAATGTAGTACAAAACCTTTTCTACCTTTTATATCTGCCTCACTTTCAAAGCTTTTTTTGAAAGTTTAAAACCTATGTTAGAGAGTCCTCTCTGGTTTAATAAGGTTTCAGAAGTGTAGTAATGCTTTATCCCGGAGGGCATTCAAGTTCCAGCGTCAACCCAACCCGTTTTAACAGTCAAAAGCACATGACTCACAACCTCTATGTGGCTGAATCAAAGTCAGCCAGTGTCTATTGATACTCTGAGTTGCGAGAAAGGTGTGAGTGCTTCTGAGAGCTTCAACAGAGGCCACCTGGATAACAGCCCCCGAGGTGTCTGGGAAGGCTGTAAATATAAATGACAGTTACCACCCCCCTCCAGGGCTTCTTCAGCCAAGCAGCCTTCACTTTTCTTCTTCTGCTCTCTTCAAAGGAAACAATCCTGCTCAGAGCAAGGGCAAAGTATTGCTGGCAAGAAAGTTGTTTTTTAAATCAGACTCACTTGTGTTTATTGCTTTTCAAAGTATAGATCCTATAACATCAGATCACAGTTTTTGAGCCAAGTGAAACATCTTCTGTCTGGTGTTGATGATCATTAAATGTTTCATCGATGACAGGCCGAATGCCGTCGTCAGCCCACACTCATCCACTTTCTGTTGCTCATTCTTTCTGCAGTGCCAAGTAGGAGATAGCAATGTCTGTGTTGGCTTATGATTCGTTGACAAAAAGAGCTTCTGCTGGGATCAGTGTTGTTGAAACAGCATCAAACCTCTGATTATAACTTGATTTAATTTAATCTGACTGGTTCGCCAGCAAGCCAGGATTTTCAGCTTTCCACACTGTAATTGAGCTCATGTTAAGTGTCTTTGTGGAACCAAGCAGTATTGAAACATAGAGTTGAGATGACAGAACAAGTAAGCCTCCTCTGCATGTCAAAGGCTAATTCAGATGGAAAGCAGCAAGAGAACATCATCACGAGTCAAAACTTTAAAACTACACTTTTCTATCAATAAATGACTACACCTTCTTCTTTAAGCAATGTTATTGTATGCAGGGTGGTGCAGGAACCTGTGAAGCTTTGTCTGCTGTTTTTGCAAACACTCATAAAGTCCTCTGACACAGTGACATAAATCAAGTTGCCTGGATGAATGGCGGCTGAGGCAGCCTTTCTTTGATCAGGCTTTGTGGAGACGCCCCATGTCCTCATCCTCAGCTGCTCCAGCAGCACCTGTTTACTAGTTCAGACCTGTCTGTTTGGAAAGCAATGCTTAGCCTCTCAATGTCAAAAACTCATACATGACATACACTCAACATAAACACAAAGGAATTTGGCCAGCGCTGGGGGGGTGGGTGGGTTTTTCCAACAAGTATGAATGCTTGTAATGTGCTAGACCCATACCCATTCTTGGTAATTGTTTCTCTTATTAGACAGCCGCTCTAAATATGAATGTGTCGCCCTTTTATGAGGTTTCTGCCTCCTTTGGCTCTATCAGATATAATAATTATATATAGAATAGAACAATTCATCACAAATGAAAATATCTTTGTTTTCCTGCTTAAGAAGTAACTTGAGAGAGGAAGAACAAAACTTTACAGGGAGAGCTGCAAGTTTCACAGACCAAAGTGTTATCAGAGAATGCAATGAAAGCACCCATTCTTCCCTCAAGTTCTTCTGGTACATACATCCAGAGTTCTGAGGATTATGGTTGAAGGAGGTGTGGGTGGGCTTCTATTTTGAATGTATCTATATAGCAAAGAATCTAGGGCATTGTACGAGTACTGTATGCCCAATATGCAGTAACAGGCCATGCTTACAGCACACAGACACACACAGATACACACACACACACACACACACACACCAGTCTGCTGATTGTTCCCAGCCACCGCTGAAGGTGAGAGTAATTACATAAAAACCTGGCAACAATGAGTTTACTCCCTGCAAGGCGGGGGCAGGGCACCTTTTTTCGAATGCATAATGAACTGCCTCGCAGGCCCTCTGCTGATCAAACAAGTGTTTGATAGTGGCTTTGGTTTGAAAGAGGACTGAATATGTTTATTTGCATGTGGAGAAGTTAGTGACTTTGAGGTGGAGATCAGGCAGATTAGTGTTAACTGACAGAGACCTGTGCAAACAGACACTCCCCCTGCATACAAGCAGGGCAGCGGCCGCTTCCTCAGAGGACTAGTTAGGCTGAATGCAACATCAGACAGACAAGAGCATGGCAACTCCTGCTACTTTTCAGACATTGTTCTTTGTATGCTAGTCTCCTCCCCTAAGCCTCACTCTCTTCTTTCACAGATTTTGGCTTGTGTGGTTTAATGCAAGTGAAAGCATGCAAGCTGATAGCTGGCAAACTACTTGTATGAGAGATGAGTAGAATAATATATGGCCGCTAATCATCAAAGATAGTTTCTTAGAGTTAACTACCTTTTACAATTAGAATCTTTTTTCTTCTAAAGAGTAATACCTCTATGGGAAACTGATATGCAGTGCATATACTGTAAGAAATATGAAAATTGGATTACAGGTGAAAGATTGTTGACATTATCAGTCCAAACAATCTCATCAAGATTTAACCTTACTTCAGGCATAAACAGCATCTCTTACTATACACTTACTTTGTAATGCTTGTTGTTCTATTACCTGAAAGAAAAATCAACAGGTGAGAATTGAAATTTGCTGATTTTGTTATCAAACTGAAATGAAAACACTCCCATGTCTATATGCTAAAAACAAAGTGAGTCCAACAAATGGTACATTTAGCTTAGCATATAGGGGGGAAAGCTAGGCCCAAAGGTAACAGCACCTCTAAAGTTAAGATTTTGTTTTGGATGAAAGCCAGGTTAGCTGTTTTGACAAAAATACATGATGGAGTGGTATTAATCTTCTCATTTGACTTGTTTCAAGAAAGGGAATACGTAAGTAGATCATGATGTACATGTTTTGTACCATCAAAATGAATGATATCAAACATTCAACATTTTCAGAGCATCCATGTGCATAGTGACTGAGAAGGCAAGGACTTGTGTGGTTGTAGATATGTGAATCGTCTGGTATCAGCTAGAAGCAAGGGTTTCTCCATGGTGATTATAGCAGCAGACTCTAATCTGCCACCTTCCTAATCCACACTGCAAAGAGCTGTGATCATATTTCATCATCATAAACACAGCAGAGTTACAGGAGTGGGGAGGGGGGCGGCATTCCTTTGTTGGCGGACATTTTCAGAGACACCCCCGCACATATACAACAACAACAATCTTGTTTATGCTCACGTCCAGAAATTCAGATGCAGTGACTTGCTGTAGAAATGTAATGAATTCAAAAATTACATCTCATAAGCACACACAAGTATTCAACTACATGTGTGTGTCAGTGAATGTGTGTTTGTGTGTGTATGTGCACCTACACTGTCACATGTAAGTGGCATTTTTCTAGAGATGTTTTGAATGCAGTGACAGGATTGATGGTGGAGTGGAGAGCGTGCGCACAACAGGAGACTGTCTACATGTGTATATATTTTTGAGTGGTGAGTTTATAGACAGTATAGGAGCTATAGAGGGATAGACAGAGGCAGAGGGATGATGATGGATCTGGCAGGCCCCATGAACACCGCTGGGAGAAAATACCCGTGGTTCAAAGACAGTCTCAGCAAACTTAACAGAGAAAGATGGCACAGAGGGGGAGAACATGAAAGGAAACTACACAATCAGCTGTCAGATAAACTTGGAGAAAACATCCTGGCCCTGCTGGCAGAATATACTGTATGCAGACATTTGACTATTTTAACATAAATTCGATGGACAGCAAAATACCTTAGCGCTACTACTAATATCCATTTAATGTTAACTTTAAGAAGAATTTAACAATTGTGTGTGGAAATCTACACTAAAAAAACACAATGCAACCTATGCTGGCAGATAATATACATCAACCCCCTAATTATGGACATTTAACTTTGCAACAGAAAATGTTCAATGCAATTTAATGATAGAATATTTT